AGCAGAGAATGTCCATGGAGGTTGGTGTAAGGGGGAGGAGCTGAATGGGGCTTTGTAAATATCAGACCTACTCGTGTTAAAGCTGTCCTTTGAAGGAAAACCTGCAAATGTATAAGTCGCCAAGTTTTTTGTTTCTGTTTATTTTTTAATTTTAGCAAAAAACCAAATGACGGTACAACACACTCACCTTAAGTATTTTCATCTTCAACACATTTTTCAAAAGTTAATATATATGTGCATTAAGGAAACATAAACACAATAATTTATATCAATGGCCTAGAATGTCACCTAAGATTGCAAGAACCTCAAGGGGCAGGGCCATAGTCTTGACACAGTATACTTGATAGAAGTGAAATTAATAACACAAAGAATACCTCAATGAAATAATTGAAAAGCTAAAAAAAATAAGATATTATGTTAAACCATTTGATTTTAGAATGACTTGTTATGCAACAAGAGATAACTGACAATAAAGCAAACAGAAGTGAGGGCAATTGAGATAACCTACTTATTTTTGACATATGTTCTAACTAGAAGATAGCATTCATAATCATTTTGTTATTTAAATAACTCTATTTCAGATAACTCTATTAAAAAGTGACTGCATTGAGATTCTGTTCCAGGGAACTTGAAGAAACACTTGGAAACACATGCATGTTAGTACAGAAAAAAGTGGAGATCTGTATCATCTGACTGGACATGTGAATTCAGGCTCTCATGTGAGTCATTTTTGGACCACGAATGTTGATGAGATTACTGAGAAAAAATAAAATGATGGACAAAAAATACAAAGAATAAAAATGTCTAACATTTTCTTCTTAGGCAATTTAGTTTGGGATTTTTTTCTCCAGCTTTATCTAATTTTAGAGCATTTTTCTCACCCCAAAAAGAAATTGTTAGTGGTCACTGCCTAGTTTGTCCACACCACAGCCCCTGGCAACCACTAAACTACTTTCAGTTTCTGTGGGTTTATCTATTCTGGACATTTCAAGTGAATGGAATCATACAATATGGAGACTTTTGTGTCTGGCTTCTTTAACTTAGTATGTCTTCAAGGTTCATCCAAGTTGTAACATGTATTAATACTTCGTTCTGTTTTATGGCTGATAAATATTCCACGGTATGGGTATACCAAATTTTCTTTATGCATTCTTCATTTGGAAGGCATCTGGGTTGTTTCCACTTTTTGGGTAATATGAATCATACTGTTAGGAGCATTTGTATTCAAATTCTTGTGTGAACAGATTTTTACATCTCTCTTGGGTATAAACCTAGGAGCGAAATTCCTCGATCATATAACTATGCTTGATGTTTTGAGAAACTGCTAAACTGTTTTTCAAAGGGGCTGCGCCATTTTACATTCCCACTAGTGGGGAGTGAATGTTCAAATTTCTCCACTTTCTAGCCAACACTTGTTTTTTGATTATAGCCATCTGAGTGAGTGTGAAGTGGTATGATAATGGTTTTGATTTGCATTTCCCTAGTGACCAGTGATGTTGACTATCTTTTCATGTGCTCATTGGCTATTTATATATCTTTGCAGAAACGTCTATTCAAGCTCTATGCTCATTTTTTAATTGGATAATTTGTCTTTTGATTGTTGTGTGTCAGAGACGTTAAGTTTAGCACATCTGTCGCTTTTCTATTTTTTCTACTGCTTGGAAATCCTTTTAGTTACGTCTAGTCAAGCATTTATTCAAACATCCATTAATCATCTATTGTGCTCTATGCTTGTGCAGGAATATAAAGTCCAACAAGACACGTCAGCCCTCCTGTGGATTATTGCAACAGCTACCGGTTTTTCTACTCCCCAGTCCATCTTTTACCCTGTATCCCAAATGATTTTTCTAAAATGTGAATTTGATCATGTCACTTAATTGCTTAATCCTTCAATGCTTTATTGATTATGAGACAAACTTCTAACTCTTTAAGATGGCTTATCAAGCCTTCAAAATTTGTCCCTTACCAGTCTCTCTAAGATTCTCTCTCTTGTGTTCATCCTATACCCTTACCTGGGATAACTTTAGGGGTCTTCTAGCTAAATACCCCACCTAGAAATACTGAGGTTATTAAGCTAAGGGAATAAGTGGGTTCTCAGCCAGAAACCTCAACCAGATCTCAGGTGCAAATGAAAAGACCACTGCAGCTTTTTCTCTTAATTCTGGATCCCGACCACAACAGGTTGATCTCCCTGAAGCCAGTAACCTGAGAAAACAAGCTGTATCGTTATCCTCTTGCCTTTAAAGGGATCTTTAAATCTTCAAGCCTCACCTCATTTTTAGTGCTAAGTAGTAAAGAAAGAGCTCTGTGCTCATGCTTGGGTCACTGTTAAAGTAGAGCATGGCCTTTGGTGGCGGCAGCAGCAATTAATGGGATTCCTTCCAGCGAGAGGTGGCCAGCCCAGGATGACACAACCACTTGGTCAAGAGAATCTGTTCTTCCCGAGTGCTGTTTCCCCCTCCACCAACCTTTAGAGAGACTGAGTTTTAGTTTGATTAAAGGCAGCTGCACTTTCCTTAGATAGCCCACAAAATGGATGGGCCACCAAATAGACCGGTCTCTGCTGGTTTAGGAAGAGGAAACTCACTACCTCACTGTTATGACTCTTACTGAAAATAGATGTAGTGTATACATCTGAAAATATATTAAAGAATTCCTTTTGGACTTAGGCATAAACTAACTATATGGCAAAATCTATGTATATGTATATATGTGTATATACGTATATATGCACATGTACACACACCCACCACTCACACACAAATATAATGCAGAGACAATAAAGATCAAATAACAAATCTACAAATCTGAAGCAGAGTATGTTATCTATTGCTCCATAATGAACTAACCCCAAAATTCAAGTGGCTTAAAACACCCATTTTATTTTGTAAACTTTATTGAGATATAATCGACCAATAAAATTGTAAGGTATTTAAAGTGTACTTCATGATGACTTGAAATATGTCTACATTGTGAAGATTCTTTTCATCTAGTTAATTAACCCATCCGTCACTTCACATTTCTATATGTATAGTGAGAACATTTCAGTTCCAATCTCTTAGCAAATTTCAATTATACAATATAGTGTTATCAACTACAGGCACCATGCAAATAAATATTTTATTTTGTTCATCCTTTTTTGGCTCAGAAATTTGCGAAGGGACCACCCAGGCACTTTGTCTTCAGTTCACCTGGCTCGCACGGGGTGACTGAGGATGGATGACACTTCCAAAACGGCGCCTTCACTCACGCGTCTGGCACCTCACTACTCTTTGGCCTCAGTCTCTCCCTCCACGTCTTATTCTTCAGAGCCTCTGCATGTGGCTTGGATTTTGCCCAGGATGGTGGTTTTAGGGTAGTTATAATTCTTAAACGGCAGTTGGTTTCTAAGAGAGCAAGGCAGTAGCTGCCAGACCTCTTAAAAGCTAGGGCTGGAATTGGCATAGCTTTTACAGCATCATTTACACCAGACTCTATCGACCAAAGCATTCACAGACCAGCTGAGGGAGGGAAACAGACTGCAACTCTCAATGGGAGGAGTAGCAAAGAATTTGCAGCCATCTTTAATCTGCCATAAATGGAAGACCTATTAGGCATCTTTACTTGATAAACACAAAGATTTCTACCACCACCCCCCTAACAAAAATATCAGTACCATGCTGAGTCCTCAGCAGTTTGTAAACATACTGGTTGCCTTAGACAAAGATGAGGCGCTGCTACACATATCGTGTATAACTTTAACAACTTTTCCGTATTTAATGGTCACAATAATAAAAATTCTCTGAAGTTTTATTGCTTCTTTGACTTGTACATGTGTATTTTATGGCCAACATTTTGAGCTGCAGGAAGCATGTGCTACATCTTTTATGACACATACCCAAGATCTTAGAAGTATTAAAAATAGTTTATTAATGCCCCGGGTATCATTCTAGCCTACCTAATACCTTGGATTTACTAAAGTCACAAAAGTTATGTTGGCTTTTTTTGTGGATACGAGTTTGCCCACATGGCAAAGCATAGCTTTGTGCAGGTATTTTCCCATGTCTGGTCCACTGACATCTAAGAAATCCAACCCTGGGGTCATAGACAGAAGAGACAAAAGACCTAATAAAACCCACATGTTAACCGTTAGTGTTCATTTACCAAATCCCACTTAAAATCTTGTACTCGCAAAGCTAATTTCATCCAATTGCCTTTTAATTATAGTCTCTTGCTCAGAGTTGCAAATATAATGGCTTTTTAATATAACTTGCACTGTTCTGTGTCCAATGTAGGATGTAATCATGCAATTTATTCAGTCAGAGCTAGTGCATTAGGTAATTAAAACATAAGCACACACGGATTTCTGCACATGAACATTCGGCAGGAAAGTAATAAGAATCTGACAAATCTGCTTTGGGATAGAATTCTTTTTGGATAAAAATCCTATGTTCACCAAAGGATGTCATAGCTAAAGCGAAATTAGACGTCAGATAGGACTGTCGGGGACACCTGTGCACATATCATGGGGAATAAGATAGAAACTAATTTAGAGTAGAAACGTAAGTGGTTTAATACATTTTTAACTATCTAATCACAGTCTTGGTAGATATAATTCTCAATGTAAGTTAATTCTTCATTATCCAAGATATTAGGAGGTAAGAGACCCTCAGTCTCCTGTCCCTTTTAGAGGAGGAAGACAGAAAAAAAGATTATGAGCTTGAAGATAATTTTCACTATTAAGAAACATGATCGGGGCCACCTGGTGGCGCAGCAGTTAAGTTCTCGCGCTCCACTTCCGTGGCCAGGGGTTCGCCGGGTCGGATTCTGGGTGCAGACCTACACACCACTTGTCAAGCCATGCTGTGGAAGGTGTCCCACAAATAAAGTACAGGATGATGGGCACGGATGTTAGCTCAGGGCCAGTCTTCCTCAGCAAAAAGAGGAGGATTGGCGGCAGATGTTAGCTCAGGGTTAATCTTCCTCAAAAAGAGTAAACAAACATGATCAAACAATGTAACAACTTTTGAAAATCTCTTTTAATGGTGGTAATCACTTTTGAGGAGTAAGAATTGATGTATGCATGAATAATAAGCACATATTTCTGTGTTTTTTCTTTCAATGAGCATGTATTACTTTAGTAAAGTTGTTCACCTTTATTTCACAGTAACCAGGAGATTTCATATAAAAACAAGTAATGCTTTATTGGTTTTGAATTATACATAATCCTTACAACTTTATATATTAGTTTTTAAAAAGTGTATTAAGCTATGTTTTTATGCATTTATTCATTCCATAATTTGTTGTGTCAACGAACTATGCCCTATGGGCTAGAGAAACCAAGAAAGTGATGGGTTTGACCTTAAGATTTTCAGGGTTTTTTTGTAGGAAGTATTTCTCTAGTGTTATCTTCTGTTAATGTTTGGCCATTAAAAAACAAAGAAAAGATATGGGCTGTGAATCCAAATACCAGCATGAAAACAGAAAAACATTTATTCAGTCATCAGGATTTTGAGTTTGTAAAATGGCAGTATCTGGAAACGTAAAAATCTAGGATTGATTTTCTTTTTCAGTTTTCTCTGGATTTGCATTCATATATCCTGTGCTCATTCTTATTACTTCAAATACAAATGTGGAAAGTGTATGTACACGTCTTTTCCAAAACATTAACAAAGATTTCAGATGACATACCCTCATCAACTAACCCACATGCCCTCTTCCTCTGACATTCTTAGCCAGCCTCCACACAGGGGAAGTCAACCTTGATCCCTCTTGATGTTCTGAGTCCTGGGTCTCCAAAGTTTGCAGCCTAAACCCTGCCATTGACTTTATCTGCTCTTGACTGCTTTCTATCTAATCCCACCTTTTGCTCAGTCTTCAGAGGAGCTGTGTCTGAATCCAACTCTGAAGCAGGAATCCATAAAGACCGAATCAAACACTCTGCTGGCAAGGCCAAAACTAGACAAACATGTGCCAAATCATCTTGATCAAATACCGAGTTCCCATCCTAAATTCTACCCTCAGCTGTTTGATTTAGAGACATTCCAAACTTATGAATGGATTATGTGTCCAATGTTCCTTTTAATTTAGAGATTGAGGACCTACATCCCTATAGAAATGATGGTATAAATGCCATACCAAATATATTATAAATAAAAATTAAATTTCCATAACAGTCCATAGTAATAAATAGTTCATTGGGAAGTCAAAATGTAAGCCCTGGATTTTTTTCTTCGTTTTTAAGTTATACATGTTTTTACTTTTTCACATTTCTAAAATCAAGATTAATCTTAAAGTTGACATTTTTATACATTGTGTTGATTTTTTTTCCTGAAAAGTTCATGGTATATATTACCATTGCCTCCAGTGGTGTCCTAAATCTTAAAATCAAAAAAATATGGTATTCTAACTATATCTGATTACAACATTGATTCTGGGGAAAAAGACATTTCAAGTTTGATAGCTACATATTTTCTGCCTATTACAAGGTGATTCCAATGAGGGATTCAGTTTATAATCATAAAAATAAGTTAATCCTTGTATTAGGCTATAGTTTTATTTTTACCTGCCATCTCTGGATGATCAATTTTCCCCCTTAACCACTTTCTCTGAATTTTCTTCCATAACATATAAATACGCTAGATTCTGTCCCATCTATTAAAAAACAACAAACTTTCTCTTACTCTCTGGCTTCCCTCCACCTGTGGTCCTCTTTCCTTCCCTTTACAGCCAAGCTTCCTTTAACAATATTTGCACATTGTCTATTGAATAGAGGTATCACGCTTTATGCAACCTGTTCTCTCTTAATGGACATTTAAGTTATGAATTTATTACTCTTAAAAATATGCTTCAGTTACCATCCTTAAACAAATATCTGCGTACATTAGTGCAAAATTCTATAGAATTGAGTTCTAGAAGTGAAACTATTGAGTCTAAATGAATGCATGCTATGGGTTGAATTGTGCACCCCCCGAAATTTGTGTTCAGATCCTAACCTCCAGTACCTGGGAATGTGACCTTATTTAGAGATGGTGTCTCTGCAAAGGGAATCATGTTAAAATGAGGTCATGAGAGTGGATTCTAGTCCAACATGGCTGGGGTCCTTTTAAAAGGAAATCCAGACACAGACATGAACAGAGAGAAGATAATATGAAGATACAACGAGAACACCATGTAAACAAGAAGATAGCCATCTACAAGTCAAGAGAAGCCTGGAACATATCCTTCCTTCACAACCCTCAAAAGGAACCAATCCTGCCAACACCTTGCTTTCGGACTTCCAGCTTCCAGAATTACGAGACAACAAATTTCTGTTGTTTAAGCTACCCAGTTGGTGGTACTGTTACAACAGTCCTAGATAACTGATAGAACATTCTTGCAAAATACCCCCAAAACGGCTGTCACAATTTACACGGTAACCAACCATAGAGAAGGGTAACTTCTCCCCGACACTGCACCGTTACTGAACTATCAATCTTTGCAATGTTTTGCAAATTTTGAAGACAAACAAATAGTATCTCTTTTTCATGCCTATTTTTTTGACTTTTTTAATCCAAATTTAGCACATTTCTGGGGTTTTATTTCCTTCTATTTTAAAATATCTAAAATGGATTCAAATGGATTGATCGACACTGTCAAACAACCACTCACATCTAGCTGTGTGATTGCAGCATAGTTTGATACAACGACCAAAAAAGAAATGATTAAAAATTATACTTAACTTTTAAAAATGTTTAAGTACTCATCAACCTATTGACAATCTACTGCAAAATTTTCATTCTCTAGGATTATCACATGCAGCATGAAGTATATTCTTAAAAGGCAAAAAAGCTAAATGATTGGAAACTACAAACTTAACACTCAATTAATTTTATAATTATAGTATGTGAAATTAAGTCCCATATCCAATAGCCCAATTTGCAATGTATTAAGGCTTACACTTTTGAAGTAAGTTCGTACTGACCTTCCTATTGGAAGCACAATAAAATTCAATACACGGTGTTCTAAAACGGCATCACAAACTATAGGAGCATCTTAGCAATATTAAAAAATATGCCTTTAAGGTTGCAATATTGATTTAAAAATTCTTTCCTGAAGCAATAATCAATGGGGCATATTTGTTCCCAATCACTCTTTTGTTAATATAATTATCCTGTTAAAAGATTATTCTCCATCTTCTCTTTCATTGATTCCCTTTTGTCTTTGCATGAGTTAAGATGTGAACTTTCATGTTGTTTGACTGAATAAACCTCTTGTGACAGCCTTCGAAGGGACACATAAAACGTTTCTCCCCGGTGTGGATGCGTACATGTGTACGCAAGTTGAAGTCCAGGGAAAAGCGTTTTCCACACCCTTCGAAAGTGCACTGAAATGGCTTCTCTCCAGTATGAACCAGGAAATGCCTTTTTAGTTTTGTGCTCTCATTGAACGCTTTCCCACATTCTGCACATACGTGATCTCGGGGCCCATGAACGAGGAGATGTTTTCTCAGGGAAGCCTTATTCTTCAACTTTTTTGTGCATCCGCTCTGAGGACAAACAATTTTTTCTGGAGCATCACATTCTTGATTTTTTCCTGGCTTCTTTCTAGCAGATTCTGAGAGCTGTTGGGGATCTGGTAAGTCAACGCTGGATATTCCTCCAGGAGGAAGCCTCTTGCCTGTCATGTACTCAGGATACCCAAGAAGTGAATTCTCGCCAACAGTCTCTTGGGGAAGGTCTTGTTTTGCCCCTTTTTTCACGTATTCCAGAGAACATTCGAGAAGAGAGCTGGCGGTAAGAAGCTGTTGAGAAAGGTCTTGTTCTGATCCTTCTGTCAGGCAGTCAAAGGACTTAAGAAGTAAGTCTTCTTCCAGGATGGGTTCAGAAAACTCACCTCTTATTATGCATTCTATGTAACAGTCGCAGAAGGAATCCTCTCCAACAAGCTGATGGCAAGTCTCACAGTACACATCTTCACCACCTAAGGCCCACGTCATGTCGAGAGATTCCTGCCGGGCTGGGCTGGCCTGGGCTCGCTGTGGCTTATCCCCAGCGACGATGGCTCTTCTATCCAGGCCTTTCCCGTCTTGTGTCTTTGCCCTTTTCTTCAGTTGCTGGTCCATGTCGACCTGCCTGCTTCCTCCTTGAAGGTTTGAACCAGGATATATGAACCACTTCCACGAAGGGTGATCTGGGTAAATTTTCTTCAGCAAGCACCTGCTTGGAGATAATAACCGTTAGGTAAAATATATTTCAACGTTAGAGCCACTGTCAGAAAATGACCTCAAAAAATGGCCTAGAACTCATTTTTCAACAACAGAATGACTAAATTTGCATCTTCTTTGGCAAACTCCTCAAGATAAGAGAATGGGCTGTGACCTAAGCCATGGGTCATAACCAGCTCTTACCTGGGTATCCCTCTGAGTTATCTGACCTCTCGAATTAATGTCCTAGCTTGTACTGGGCACTCACTATGCACTAGCCCAACTCTAGGCTACTCATGGCTTGAGATACATCAGCAAGCAGACATGCAAAAAAGTCCTATGCCTCATGGAGGATACATTCTCAGGAGCATACCAAATAACTAATGTATGTCACATTTTATAAGGCGAAGTGCTACAGAATAAGCAGAGGCTGGTGGAAAGCAGGAGTTTGCAATTTTAGATAGGGCGATCAGGCAAATCTTTACCAAGGTAGCAGCAGTTAACTTAAAACTTGAAGTAGGTGAGGGAACAAGATATGCCTATTTTCTTATGAAATACTGATGTGCAATTCAAATTAAATAATGCATATAAAGTGTTTAGCATAGTTCATGGCACAGAGTGAATGCTGAGTGCTTATGTGAGCTAGTATTATTTTATTACCTTTGTATTCACTCTGTTTTGTTTTGTTTTTGAGGAAGATTAGCCCTGAGCTAACATCTGCTGCCAATCTTCCTCCTTTTGCTGAGGAAGACTGGCCCTGAGCTAACCTCCATCCTCCTCTACTTTGTATGTGGGACGCCTGCCACAGCATGGCTTGCCAAGTCGTGTGTAGGTTTGCGCCTGGGATCCGAACCGGAGAACCCCAGGCCTCCAAAGCGGAGTGCATGAACTTATCCGCTGTGTCACTGGGCCAGACCCTGTATTCATTCTCTAAGGGTATGTTGGATCTTGCTATGTGCCAGGTGCTATTCTAGGCCAAGGATGACAAACTTTTTCTGTAAAGAGCCAGATTTAAGCTTTGTGGGCCCTATGGTCTATGTCACAGCAATTCAACTCTACCGTTGTAGCATGGAAGCAGCCGTAGACATCATATAAATGATGAGCATGGCTGTGTTCCAATAAAACAAGCAGGAGCCAGAGTAGGCCTATGGGCTGTAATTTGCCTTCCCTTGTTCTAGCAGATGGGGATCCAGAGAATAAGACGTGAAATCCATGCATTCCCATCTCTAATGTGTGCAAGTCAAAATAAAGGAACAGGGGAATTTGGCCCTAAATAGTTCTCGATCTTTTTCTTTTCTTTTTCTTTTTTTTTTAAAGATTGGCACCTGAGCTAACAACTGCTGCCCTTCTTTCTTTTTTTTTTCCTGCTTTTTCTCCCCAAATCCCCCAGTATATAGTTGTATATTTTAGTTGTGGATCCTTCTAGTTGTGGCATGTGGGACACCACCTCAACATGGCCTGACGAGCAGTGCCATCTCTGTGCCCAGGATCCGAACCGGTGAAACCCTGGGCTGCCAAAGTGGAGCATGAAAACTTAACCACTGGGCCGGCCCCTGGATCTTTTTCTTAAAAATCTAACACCACCATTATAAAAGTTATAGAATGATCATATCATATTCTTTCTAAGAGCCTTTTGCTTAATGGTACAACTGTGTGCCTTATAAAAGATCTCAGTTTTATTGTCCTGATGTCCTGCTAAAGGAATAAAAATTAAATGCTTTTCTAAAAAGGGCAAATGTGAAAGTAGTGGAGTGAAAATTAACAGCCTGAAAATATTTTTAGACAGCCACATCTAAAAATACCATTTCAAAACATTCATGCCATTTACTTCTGGCAAAAAAATACATAAAAACAAAACATATGTTTTTCAATTGCTAAAGGAAGAGTTTTAAATGTCTTCTTAAATATTTATATATATACAAACATACTATATATAAATATATGATATATACATAATATTGCTATTTGTTGTATAAGCAAATTATATATTTAAAACAAATTATAAATAAAATTATATGCTAATTTACATATAATATATATAAATGTTTTATATACAATACACATAAATTGCTAAGGGAAGAGTTTTAAATTTCTTCTAACGTGTATGTATTATTACATATAAAAATATACACATGTTTGGGGCCAGCCTGGTGGTATAGCAGTTAAGTTTGCATGCTCTGCTTTGGCGGCCCGTGGTTTGCAGCTTCAGATCCTGGGCACGGACCTAGCACCACTCGTCAAGTCACGGTGTGCCGAATCCCACATAAAATAGAGGAAGAGTAGCACAGGTGTTAGCTCAGGACAATCTTCCTCAAGCAAAAAGAGGAGGATTGACAACAGATGTTAGCTCAGGGCCAATCTTGCTCACACATGCACACAAAAAAGTATACATATGTTTAAGAAGAAATTTAAAACTCTTCCCTTAGCAATTGAAAAGCATATTTTGCTTATTCTATGTATTTTTTTGCCAAAAGAAAATGGCATGATTCCTTTGAGGTGGCTTTCTTTTTGGTGAAGAAGATTGGTCTTGAGCTAGCATCTGTTGCCAATCTTCTTCATTTTGCTTGAGGAAGAGTAGCCCTAAGCTAACATCTGTGCCAGTCTTCCTCTATTTTCTATGCAGGATGCCACTGTAGCATGGCTTGATGAGTGGTATATAGGTCCACGCCCAGGATCTGAACCTGTGAATCCTGGGCCGCCAAAGGGGAGCATGCTGAACTTAACCACTATACCACAGGGCTGGCCCCTGAGATGACATGTTTATTGTTATTTTTCTTGTGAGGAAGATCGGCCCTGAGCTAAGATCCATGCCAATCTTCCTCTATTTTGTATGTGGGATGCCACCGCAGCGTGGCTTGATGGGCGGTGTGTAGGTCCACTCCTGCGATCTGAACCTGTGAACCCTGGGCCACCGAAACAGAGCATGCGAACATAAGCATTATGCCACCGGGTCAGCCCCTGAGGTGACATTTTTAAATGTGGCTATTTTAAAGTATTTTCAAGCTGTTTATAGATATATATATAGTTATATACATAATACATTATATATACATAAAAGGTTAATATATATAATATTAAATGATACAAGTGTCATTATTTATTCTGTCCTTTAAAAAGGTGAAATAAACTAGGGAGGCTGTGTCCAGGAATATTTGTTTAGTAAAATCTCGTTCTCACAGCTAAAAATAATTTTTGAATCATTTTATTTGAAGAATATAGCACCTTTGGAGCAAAATTAATAGTAATCGGTCTAAAGTTTGAGTCGGACAGTTGAGTAGGTTAAAGCTGAGTAGGACAAAAGCCCCTCCCCCAATTAGTCCCTAAAAATAACTGCAGTTTGATTTGACTCCACTTTCTCTCTCCAAACTTATTGCTTGCCATCTCCAGCTCTCCTATTTCATTGCTCTCCCTCCCGCCAAACTCTCCCACTGTGCTCTTTCCTCTTGATAAAATACTACTGCCCTCTCTCTCCTTTCTCATATGACCAGGTGTACACGCTCGTGTGCGTACACACGCACACCACACAAACATACACAGGCTCACTTCCCATCCACACTTCAGATCTTTGCTTAAACATCACTTCCTCAGGCAAGCTTCTCTTGATTCTAACGCTCAGTTAGGTCCCAAGCTAAATGTTCCCCATGGTCCCTATCTGACATCGATCAGAGCGTCAAATGGGTGTTGGTAAGGATTATTAAGGTCTGTCTTACCTACTAGACTGCAAGCTGGCCGAGGGCAAGGTCCTCTTCTGTTTTATTCATGTGTCCCAGCACTTAGCACATTTGTCTGATGAAATGAATTAATGAATATGCATTAGTCATCCTGGCGATATCTGATTTGGCAACCCTATAAAATTAATTTACTAGAAAATTATTTGAGACTTTAGATACACTTAACATATTAGTTTCAAAAAGCTGGTTATCATGATGATGCCAAGGTGTTATCTGGAAAGACATCTAGAGATCAGGGTTCAGAGGTACTCTCTTTATGAATTTACCAAGGTCCAACTACAGCTCTTACCTTTCTTTTTTTTTTAATTTTTATTTTTTCGGATGTACATCATATTTTGAATTCTGTATACATTACATCATGTTCACCACCCGAACACTAATTATTACAGCTCTTACCTTTCTAAGCTAGATTCTTATTTGTTGGAGCCAAGCATTATGCCATTTCTCATACAATACGTAAGCTGTGAGAATGATGTATAAAATGGAAATGGTAATTTATTAATTTATTATGGGAAAACTCCTGTTCACATGACAAGTACATTCCTGTTGGTAGAAATAACTACATGGAAGAATGTACTGGGTAAACATGGCATGAAGACAAAATCTGGATGTTAAATGAATAATGGCATGAGATTAACCTAATTCTCTATTTCTCAAACTGGGATAGAAGTACTCCCAAAGGTGTATTATTCATTTATTCAATCATGTAAAGAATATTTAGCACCATTGTTCTGGGTGCTGACCCTAAAGCAGTGAAAAAGATCAAGGTCCCTGGTTTTCATGGAGCTTTTATCTGTGAAATATACCAATGTATAAACAAAATGTCTATAAAATGGTAAATAAACAAAATACTTTCCAATTGTGAAAAATGCTATGAAATGAAACCAATTAGAGTAAGAGAGAGGAAGGTAGTGGAGGATGCCATCTTTAGAAAGAATGTCTGGAAAGGCTGCCAAGGAGGGGGAATTTGACCCAGACCCGAAAAAGAAGAAAAATATCAGCCAGTGGGAAGAGGTGGGAAAAGAGCACGCTTGCCAGGCTACCGCAGGAAGTACAAAGAGATCAGCAGGCTGGAGGACAAAGGAAGCCATGTTTATTATGGAGTATGGCCGGCAGAGACAGGAGTGGTCTGAGATAGGGTGGAAGAGAGTGCAGAATCTGGTGGCTCAGAGGAGCCATTTGGATTTCATTCCCAAACCAATGGGAACCATTACAGGGTTTCTTAATAGCATGCTCTGGTTTAGGTTAAAAGATTACTATTCTGGTTGATGTGTGGAAACCGGATTGTGGAAGGCAAGAAAAAGCCTTTAGGCTATTTAGTAATCCAGGAAAAGAATGCCAGTCATTTGGAGCAGGTGGTGGCAGCAGAATGAAATGGGGGAAGAGAGAAAAAATGGAGACAGAATCTTTCAAACTTGCTGGTGGACTGGATAAAGAGGGTAAAGGAACCAAGATCAAGAATGAGTGGTTCTAGGTTTTTTGGTGGATTAATAGGGTGGATGGTAGTGCCATTTAGAGATAATTGGAGGAGAGAAGAAAGGGAAGACAGGTCCAGTATCTTGATAATAAATAATTTAAACATTTTAATATAAAATAGACCTAGCCATATGTTGAAATGAAATATATTTATATGGATGTTTGAAACAAAATAAAAAAAGCAACTTCAAGCTACTTTCAGCTCAGCATCTGCTCTCTTGAAAGTGTATTTACTCTCCTCCTTTATCTGTTTTAAAACTTTGAGGCGTTTTGGCGGTGAACACATGTAGTGTATATAGAAGTGGAAATATAATGTGCGCTCGAAATTTACCTACTGCTATAAACCAATGTTACCTCAATTAAAAAAGAAAAAAAAGTTTGAGGCCAGTGGCCCAAGACAGCTGTAGGTCAACGCAGTCTAAACATAAGTCCACTCCCCACCTGGTTCTAGGATAATAAAACGCTTCCCGTTCGTGGTTTTCAAAACCTTTTGACCGCAATCCACAGTTAAAAATACATTCTAAGTAGTGAACTCCGTACACACTCCTTCCTCCAGATCTGAAAAAAAACCCAAGTTCCATGTAACAAGACTTACCCATGCTACTGCGATGCACTCTGATGTTTGCTATTCCATTTCCTTTCAAAGGGAAGACGAAGCAGCAGCTGCTACTCGCGTCCCCAGCAGGAGTTGAAATCAACTCGGCTGTACGCTCAACCAGTTAGACCCACCCTCCTTTTGATGGACGCATACTAATCAGGCTACACCTACATTGCAACTCTGTCTAGATTAGGTTAGACTTTCCAAGGAAAGGCTCCACCAAACCTCTAAAGGTTGAGGGATCAGATGGCGGTGGGAGTGGCGCTGGGCGTGGCTTTACTCCTGGCCCGGGGTCGGGGTTGGGCGCCTGGACCCGGCCAGCTCGCGGTCACCTTCAACTGAGAGCCGGCGGAGCCAAGGCGACTCCTCTCCCAGCGGCGGGGTCCCCGGCTTCCGCCACGTGGGCAAACTTGTTTGAATCCCAGTCGCTTAGCTTTAGCATGTAGTAGGCACTCAGTAAATGTCTACCGAACAAATAAAAGTAGCTATAATCCTGTTTAAGCGGTTATATATCCATGAAATGAAACTCAAGCGGTGGAGGCAGTTTCTAACCCCTGGAAATAGAGATTGACCCGAACACACACCACACCTTGCCCAGAACTCTCTCTTACCCTCCCCCAGGCTCCACTCCCCGTCCCACCCAACCCCCAGTCGCAGGAAAACTCTTACTACTGCTTTTTCTTTTTCAGACATTAATGTGACTGTTCATCTCTCTAAAGGTAACACAACTCCCTTTGAAAGCAGCGGTCAGTCAACGTCACCATTGGCTATGGTCTAGTGAAGTTTAATAGTTCGTATAAGTACAAAGACCATTAAAACAAAAACCAAATCAATGTTTAAAAACCTCTTAAATTATGACTTGAATCTTGCCTGCATTCACATATATACCTGGGAGCAGTTCTCCACTCTTTCTTTGGGATCCGTTTTAAACGGCGGTTGTGAAATTGAAAAGTAAAAGATCATTTCCAATGGGGAAAATATTTAAACTATTTTGTTTTTTAAATATATGATTCCCTGATCTCCCGCAGTAGGCACACCAGGGGCCCATCCCTTTGAAATCCACGTTAGATGAAGCTTCCTTAGCTCCTTACCTAAGAACATATCATTTGCAGGTGAGTTCCTGAAAGCAGAAATTGTAAGAAATGACCCCTTCTGCTGTCTGTGATGCATGGCTGGGGTGCTCCAAAAACTGCGCAGATAAATTCTCAGAGGGGGTTTGCACCAACTTTTTATTTTTTTTTTTCAGTAATACAAGTGTTAGTGTTTTGGGTTTCGATAAGAAATATGACTTCAATGAACCAAAGAATTCCAAGTAGAACATTCCTTCTAAGCTTTTATGTGGCAGTGTCATTGGTCATTCAAAGTCCCTTTTCCCCCCTGGAGGTCTCTCTCTCTCTCCATCATCATCATTTATATATATAAATGATATATATAAATAAAGATAAATAAATGATATATGGTTTATATATTATTTATCATTACATATTTCATTTATATATTACTTATATAATATATACTATATTTATTTATGTATATATGGAGATTCGAAGAGAGAGAGAGACACACACACCGTCACAGCTGGAGCGGAAGATTCTTTCTTTCATCTAATTCGCCAGACCACACCCTTTCGTTATCACTCCCTTAAATTTTGCGACAGTGCATACAATCCACTAGATTGACTTATAAACCCCTTCCCCTCTACTGATCCCATCAGGTCACTTGGTTTGTGTCAGTGTGACTCTGTCTGGAAACTAGAGGCAACATATTTAGAAAATCTAAATTTTACAGCTCACACAAATTATTTTTGCTCCCATTTTGCTTCGGTTTTCCTTTCTGTGGCCCTGAAGAAGTAAACCAAAAGGAAGGAACTCATCTGTTGTTATATGGACACAGCTCAAGAGGGATTGAATGTCTCCAAAAAATGAGCTAGAGAACCGATTAAACCGTAAAACAAAAGCTGCTGGCTTTTGAAACTGACACAAAGAGGGTGCGTGGAAACAAGCAATTTTTCAGATTGCTGGAATTAGTCATAGTAGTTCTGCAATAACATCATGACCAGTTTTTTGGAATTGTATTTTGACAATTTATTTCTGTGTTACAAACCAACATTTTCCTTAAAAAGCTTAGATTTTGAAAACTGTAATTATGTTTCAATTCACTTTACACATATTTGAGTTTCTCCAGCAGACAGGCCACCGTTCTCGGCCTTGGGGATGTGGATCCATGCCCTCCTGGAATTTGCAGGCTAAAGTTTCAGGGCAGGAAGTAGGATGAGGCAAGTAACTCGTTGGTTTCCAGCAGCAAAATTTAAGGGGTGCCCAAAATTCAGTAATTAAGATTGATAATATTTTAAGCAATATATTTTTTTTGAGGAAGATTAGCCCTGAGCTAACTGCTACCAATCCTCCTCTTTTTGTTGAGGAAGACTGGCCCTGAGCTAACGTCCATGCCCATCTTCCTCCACTTTATATGTGGGACGCCCACCACAGCATGGCTTTTGCCAAGCGGAGCCATGTCCGCACCCGGGATCTGAACCCGTGAAGCCCGGCTGCCGAGTGGAAAGTGGGAACTTAACGGCTGTGCCACTGGGCCAGCCCCTTAAGCAATATTTTTAAAAATAAAAATTAGTGCAAAAATTCATGATGAACAAAATATCAAATATTTCAATCAAGATTGATAACGAACTAGCGATGCTTTGTCAATGTCAAAATGCAGCTATTATTAGGACAATGAAGGGGGTAGGTACTGGGTGTTGGTAGAGCTCGTCTAGCCGACGGAGACGGAATCCGGAAGTTCAGCGAAGTTTTCCGTGGAGCAGTTTCCATCAGAGGGCAGAGTCAGCTTGGAGGGCAGAATCTCCTTGACAGCGGAGCATTTGAATCACTGTGAAAGAAAGATGAGAGCAAGAGGGAATGTGCAGCGCCAGACGCCGGGCCCTGTAGGTCATGGTAAGACGTTAGATCCTCATTCCGAGAGCGATGGGAATGGAATATTACAAGAAAGCATGCGTCCTATATAAATGCGTATTAACCTTAAACTTGTAAACCGTAGTAGTTTCATTGTTGGAGCTGCAATGTCTCTATCTGATTTAGCTCATATTAATTGAATGCTTTGCATGCACCATCTCATTCTATCTTGAAATTCAATGTGTAAAGTGATTATTATTATCATGTTATTTGTGTTTTGAAATGATAACTCTGAGACACAAAGGAAGTTTATGCGCTGGTAAGTAGCTAAACTCAGATTTGAACTTGAGCATGCTTAACTCTTTGAGATGTAGCATTTTACATTATATTGTGGTATTTTACAAACTCCGTGGCTATATCCTTCATAGAAAGTCTCTTGCATTATTATTTTCTGTAATTTATAATGCTTTTTACATATTTATTTGATCTTGATAGCAACCTTTTGACTTGTTATTACCCATTTTATATAAGAAAATGGGAAGTCGGTAATGATAAATGCCTTACTCAAAGCAGCCCAAGTATTAGTTTATGGGCCAGAGTTTAGATCCTAACACAAAATTTAAAGGTAAATTTAATTTTTCCAAGTTCAGTCAGTTGTTTAAAGAGCTTTTAAAATACGTTTTTGCAGTTTCCCTACAAAAAAAGCCAATCAATCATATGTAAGTTTCCCCTTGGAATTTGATGTCTTGGTAGCACATATTTTTCAAGGTGGCATACGAAGAGACATTTTAACCTTGCATTTTTTTTGATATAATTAACATAGAACATTATATTAGCTTCAAGTGCACACATAATGATTTGATAGATGTATATATTGCGAAATGATCAGCACAGTAAGTCTGGTTAACATCCGGCACCACACATAGTTAAAAGTTTTTTGCGTGTGTGATGAGAACTCTTAAGATTTACTCTCTTAGCAAAATTCACATATACAGCGCGGTATTAACTGGAGTCACCATGGTGTACACTGTGTCTCCAGGACTTATTTATTTTACAACTGGAACTTTGGACCTTTTGACCCCTTTCACCCAGAGGTTGGGGTAGGGTGTGGGTGAAATGAGTGAAGGCGGACTCTGTGTTTTTTTAAATGTGAATTGTGGCTGTTTTGTACTTCACACTGACAAGAATGAGATTTGTCATCATCCGGTCATACATTTTCAACACTCTTTATACTCTTTAGATGAAAGCTGTAACTGCATAAATATCATCATATTTCATTGTCTCTATGAGAATTCAGCACTGGGCCTAAGCATGGGACCTAAAGGCAATTTTTTAGACCGTAGATTCTCCTTGGACTTTGACAATGATTCGTGAATATTCTTATTTGGGAGTTTCATAAAATCCTTTCTTCCTCTTAAGAATGGACTATATGTGGAAGATAAACAAACACATAGATAAGGAGAACAGATTAGTGGTTGCTAGAGGGGAATGGGTGGGGGGAGGGCGAAAGAGGTAAAGGGGCGCATATGTATGGCGACAGATGAAAAACTAGACTATCGATGGGGAACACGATGCTGTCTATACAGAAACTGATATATAATAATGTATACCTGAAATTTATACAATGCTATACCAATATGACCTCAATAAAATAATTTAAAAAATAAAAAAAAGGACTATCCACATAACCTCCCTTCCTATTCAAGAACCTATTAAAATCAGGCTCGGGCCAGCCTGGTGGCACAGCAGTTAAGTTCACACGTTCCACTTCTCGGCAGCCCAAGGTTCGCCGGTTGGGATCCCGGGTACGGACCTGGCACCACTTGGCAAAAGCCATGCTGTGGTAGGCTTCCCACCTATAAAGTAGAGGAAGATGGGCATGGATGTTCTCTCAGGGCCAGTCTTCCTTAGCAAAAAGAGGAGGACTGGCAGTAGTTAGCTCATGGCTAATCTTCCTCAAAAATAAATAAATAAATGAATAAAAATAAAATAATATAAAATCAGGCTCACCTGGAGAAAATTTTTAGCGCTTGATCTAACTTACTTTAGATTATCTGTCATATTTTCTCATAAAAATTTTTGAGTCAATCTCAGATTGCATGGCCTTTTTTGAAACTTTTTATTTGAGATATTTTTGGATTTAAGAAGAGTTGCAAAGATGATATAGAGTTCTCATACACTCCTTCACACAGCTGTCCCTAAGGTTAACATCTTACATAACCAATGCACATTGAGCAAAATTAAGAAATCAACATTGATTCAATACCATTAACCAAACTCTAGATTTTATTTAGACTTCATCA